AGGGAAGGATCTCCTAGGACCTGCAGTGGGACATATGCAAAGAAAATTGTTCTCTGTCCAAGCTTGAGCAGTGATTCCAGTTGGTAATCTCTAAAAAGCTGTGCAGACACAGGATGTTCCATTGAGGGTAGGGGCTGGGAGTGAAAACACTGTCCCTTATGTCTTAATCTAAAATCATTAGGAAGAAGTTCATCTTTACTCTATGGAATGTGAGGGGATCGACGGCAGGGATTTCACCTACTTGCTGGTTTTCAGCGTACTGCAGTTCACCTGAGCCCAGCTATGTGGATTTACACATTACTTTTAACTAACATAACCCATAAGGAAATGTACAAGTAGCTTCAAAAGATTCCTGCAGTATCCTTAAATTGAAAATATTACTAGAGAGCACAAACCACCAGCCAGCAAACAAAACACAGCAGAACTGATACTTTATTAAGTTATATGACCAAAAAAATTTGGAGACCCCTCCCCCCACCCCCAGCCTAACTAAGCATCTGTCACCGATAGAAGGGGTAACACTGAACATTGTGGCTGGAGCCAGCAAGTCCTTGGAAACCCTCCTTCTTGGGCTGTTGAATATTCTCAGCAGATAGCCTCGCCTTGGGGGAAACAGGTCCCCTTCTGGTCCCCACAGAGAAGGTCGCCTCCAGCAGTAAACAGCAAATGGATGTAGGTAGAACAGATTTCTTAAATGTATAAAATCAGATACAGTCAGCAACCCCGAGGACTCTCAATATCTTCCCTGGGCAGTCTGTTGGTGAGTCTGTGGCTGCTTGTGAGTGGTACCACAAAGTGAAGGCTCATCTTTGCCAGATCTACAAAACCTTATCCTTCTGATCTCTGAAATCAGGATCGGAAAGAAAAGAATAGTGTGGGAACAGCAGGAGCCAGGAGGCTCTGTGGAGGCCTCCAGCAAGTTCCTGACACAAGCAGGAGAGGGATGGACGAGAGGGGCCTTGTGGAGAGGTGGTTTCTCTGTCTGTGTTGGAGCCGTGTGGTGCTAGCTTTTCTTTGACCTTGAATTTAAGTCCTGAATGGTGGGAGACAAGGCATTGTTTCCTCGGGGACAAGGAATTTAAAGAAGAAGGTTGGCTTGCACCACCTCTAGAAACAGACTAAAATGTTTGAGAAGCACTTGAACTGGAAAAGGGTTTGGTGTGTGTGACTGCAAAAGGATTCAGGCCCGAGATGGCTCTGAGATGCTCTGCAGGTAAATCTGGCCTCGACTACAGTGCTGAGTGAACCCTGTACCTTTGCCTGTACACATTGTTTGTGCTGGGGTTTTCCACTGAGAGGTGTAGACTGGTTCCCAGCATTCCTACCCTTGGCCTGAGTGTATGCTCTAGACATCCTGCTCCTGAGGGTAGCTGAGGAGAGAAAAGAGCGGAAACTTTTACTGGAACGGTAGCCTCCAAGGAGAGCCTTCCCTGGGTCAGCTCCAAAGAGAGCAGTTCTCTATTATCGGTCCCAGAGGCTGCCTCTTCCCAGACTGACTTAGGAAGGATTTACCCTCCTTTCTCTTTCTGTGAACCCACCACCTCCCAGTCCATTTTCTAGACAATGATGCCACCTAATGGGAACCAAGAATAACTCACAGAGCGTTTAAGTGAGAATACTTACACTTCCTAATGTAACTCACATTTCCCTGCCTTGTCCTTTGCTACATATTCAGTGCTGTGTACTAGCTTCTGATGGGGCCAGACTCAACAGCACATGGGCAGTCAGGGTTTCAGAATGCTAGGAAGTATGTTTAGATGGGTATACATACATACATTAAAGAATCACATTGTACACTTCAAATATATTACACTTTTATTTGTCAGTTATACCTCAGTAAAGCTAAAAAATGGGGGCACCTGGGTGGCTCAGTCAGTTAAGCATCTGCCTTTGGATCAGGTCATGATCCCGGGGTCCTGGGATCAAGCCCCTCATCCAGCCCTCCTTCTCCCTCTGTGCTCTCTCTCGCTCGCTCTCTCTCAAGTAAACTTAAAAAAAAAAGTTTAAAAAAAAGCTGAAAACATTAATTTAATAAAAGATGGCTATAAATGATGTAAGTCGATAAGTAAAAAGCCAGATCTGTAAGAAGTAGAAATGAATGGAGATACACCAAAATGTGGGTTAGGCTAGTGTGATTTTATGTTTTCTTTTCTCTCTTTTTTTTAAAGGTTTTATTTATTTATTTGAGAGAGAGAGGGAGAGCATGAGCAAGGGCAAGAACAGAGAGGGAGGGAGAGGGAGAGGGAAAGAATCTCAAGCAGACTGCATGGAGGACAGAGTCTGACGCCCTGCTCAGTCCCACCACCGGGAGATCATGACCTGAGCCAAAACCAAGAGTCTTATCACTCAACTGACTGAGCCACCAGCGTGCCCCTGATTGTGTTTTCTAAACGCTGTATAATACAGTTTGTATTTCTTCCTTCTGAATTCACCGTAAGTATACTTTTTAATATAGACAATAATTAAAGTTGGAAAATACAGAAATAGAAACAAGAAAAACAAAATTACCCATAGTTCCACCACTCAAACATACCTACTGTTTACATTTTGGTGTGCTTCTAGTCTTTTTTTTTTTTTTAAGCAACTAGCCTTTTTTTTTTAACATAGAGCTTTATATATTTTTAAAAAATTGTAATCATTCTGGGGGTTCCTGGGTGGCTCAGTTGGTTAAGCATCTGACTCTTGATGTCGGCTCAGGTCATGATCTCAGGGTCATGAGATCGAGCCCTGCATCGGGCTCTGCGCTCAGCACAGAGTCTGTTTCTCCCTCTCCCTCTCCTTTCTCCACTCACACACACTCTCTCTCACATATAAAAAATAAAAAAAAATCTCTTTATTTTATTTTATTTATTTATTTGACGGAGAGAGAGACAGCGAGAGAGGGAACACAAGCAGGGGGAGTGGGAGAGGGAAAGGGAGAAGCAGGCTTCCTGCTGAGCAAGGAGCCCAAGGCAGGGCTCGATCCCAGATCCCAGGACCCTGGGACCATGACCCGAGCCGAAGGCAGACAATGAGCCACCCAGGCGCCCCCAAATAAATAAAATCTTTAAAAAAAATTGTAATCATTCTTTGTAATTCTTTTATCATTTATTATCACTTTAATAATAATTCTGTTGCTTTTATGATACTAAAAATCATCCTTTAGACAAAGCTGTTTCCAGGAAACCCAAATGCATCATTTAGATACATTAGGTTCCAAGAAATCTGACCTTAAAATAATTTCTATACTCTTATTTGCGCTATATGTTCGTGTACATGGAGACACCTTCGAAAGCCAGCAAGGAAACAGGGGAAAAATAATTTTAGAGTCTGTAGGCAATGTGGAAGGAGCCCACGGTGGTTGGGAGGTGATAGGAAGTTGTTCCAGGCGGGTCCTGCCGCGCCTGGTCATGTGCCGGCGCCACCTAGTGGTTACGGTTATGAACAGTCTGAATTCTCTGCCTCCTATCTGCGGGTCTGGGAGCTGGCATCCTGGTTGGGGGCCTTGCTCCAGTACCCTGCCTCTTGCTCCAGTACCCTGCCTCTTGTCTCTGCTTAACCTACTGGAAGTAGAGCAAGAATACCGTCAGCACGGATACATAAATGTACAGATCGGAGTTTGCATTATGAACAACAAATGGGCACCATGAGAAAGGAAAAAAAAGTTCCCAGAATCTATGAAATGAAAAATTCAAATGGGAAGACAGCAGTTTGGAATTCTAGCCCTTGGGCTGCCTCCAAATCATTATCCATCTTGCAGATCTCTTTGTAAAGCAAATCTCTTCTCCACTTGTAACTCATTTACCTTATTATGCAAAAAAAAAATTGTATGTCAGTTCTTTCTCTCTGACAGGTATGTTTTGATTGGGCTCTTGGGGACGCAGGTATTACCAGAGAAAACCCTCTGGTTTGTTAGAGCCGCAAAGGGCTGGTATGAATCCAGTTCTGCCATTTATTAGCTCTGTGTTTTGAGCTAAGCCACTTAATCTTTCTGAGCTCGGTTTTCTCATCCCGCAAATGGGGATAATCATAGCTAATTTGCTAGGTTATAATAAGGAGCAGATGTATTGCCTAGTGGGGTGCTCAATAAATTATAGCTCTTTTGGGGCGCCTGGGAGGCTCAGCCAGTTAAGCGTCTGCCTTCAGCTCAGGTCATGATCCCAGGGTCCTGGGATCAAATCCTCGTCAGGCTCCATGCTCAGCCAGGAGTCAGCTTCCCCCTCTCCTTCTGCCCTTCTCCCCCTGCCTGTGCACTAGCTCTCCCTCTCTCTCAAATACATAAAATCTTTTTTAAAAATTGTAGTTGTTTTTATAATAAAACTCCTTATTGTTAAGTCAGATGAGATTAAAACAATCCAGTTCACCAATTGTAGGACACAGGTTTTTCCCATTTTCATATCTGAAATCAGGGTGCGTCAATGGCATGCCAGTGTTTTTTTTTCTTCTTAATAGTTCTATAGAATAATTGTACTTCTTACATTTGCTGGTGTTTTAAAGGAAGTATGGTAATTAGGTAGCAGTGTTTGAAGTGCTACGGAGAGACCCGTTTTAAGTGCTCTTGGGTTGTGTCTGAAAAGCCTGAACATGACAGCTGGTTCCATGAGGTCTGACGAGGACAATTCCCCACTGGTCTGTTCCCAGTCTCAGACTTGAACTTGTGAGCTACTATTTCTATGAAATCTATTTGGAAAGGGTGTGTTGAACCTTTTAAACCTCACTGAGATTACACAGAGCACAGTTGATAATTCAGTAGCCTGGAGCATTTAGCACCGCCCAGCATACATGAAGTGAATGTATGTTGTTTTGAAGAGGGGATTTTGGAGGGTGGGTGTAATCCCTCCTCTAATTCTGTTGGTTCTTTCCCTGATGTGTAGACTGCTCCTTTCTCTCCAGGGCTGTCTGAGGGCTGGATGGGCTGTTGCGTGGAAAATACCTGGCACGTATTGAACACAGTATATAACAGCAGGTTGGACTCTGTCTCCTTGGCAACTGTGTCTAGTCTTTTTCTCTCTGTCTTTCAGTCTAATAAAGTTCCTGTTGTTCAGCCCCCGCATCACATGCACCCGTTGACGCCCCTCATCACCTACAGCAACGACCACTTCTCCCCTGGCTCCCCTCCCACGCACCTCTCCCCAGAGATCGATCCAAAGACAGGTGAGTCATCCAACGCTCAGGCTGGCCCCCATGCAGAGCTCCAGTGGGCCAGGCTTGTCTTCTCGGGGAACATCACGGCCCTGGAATCAGGCAGCCCTGGCTTCAGGTCATGTCTCCAACTCCCAAGAGCCCATAACCTTGCCCACTAACGTTAGCCTTTTCAGATTTTTCATCTGTGTTTCCTGTGTCCCTTTCACATCGTAGAGGCATTGTGAGGATAAAAGGAAATTATATGCGGCAATGCACAGGGCCTGGCTCCACAGTGAGAATCTCTTAATACTCTGGGAGTGGAATGAGCTGGATGTGGGGGGGAACTCTTCTGCATTGACCTTTGAAGTCTAGCCCAGCTGTGGGCTGTGTCTCTGTGCCTCCCTTAACCAAGACCTTTGCCTTATACTGAACATTTTCAAAAGTAACCAGTCTGACCTGACTTCTAAGTATAGCTATAAAGCACTAAGGTTGAGCTGGCTTTTATTTATTTTTTTTAACTTGTTCACCAGAACTGTCCATCCCAGGGAGACATAGCCTCATCAAATTCCCAGAGTGGTCATGGCTCAAAGCATTTTTGGAGCCCCTGTTTAAAGAGAAATCACAGTTACTGTAAGTTACAGATAATGAGGAGGACAAATGTGGAATAGAAATGCAAAGTTTACTTCTCCATGAATGGGGTAGGTTTTCTAGAGGAGGAGTAGTTAGCAGATGACTCTGGGGGATATCTTGGGTCTCTCAGTCCAGGATTTCCGGTCCCTTTCTTGGATGACTCCTATATAAGCAGCTGGAAATTACTCCTGATGACAGAGGTGGGATGCAGGTAGCCAGAGAGAAGCCGTGTTAGTCCTGCCTTCCCCAAAAATGTCCTTGACCCCAGCAGAGCTGGGGAGGTGACAGGGCCAGGATACTGAAAGAAAGGCCTTCCAAGCTCCAGCACGCCTGGGGACATAGGGCAAGGGACTTCCGGTTTGGTGTTAGTTCCAGGTGCTGTGGTAGGGCCAAGGAACAGACTGACACGTGTCTCTTTGAAGCAGGAATCCCCCGGCCCCCTCACCCATCTGAGCTGTCTCCATATTACCCACTGTCTCCTGGAGCTGTTGGACAAATCCCCCATCCCCTCGGCTGGCTCGTCCCACAGTAAGGAAACTCACCACCTGCCTGCCTTCTGCCGTCCTCTGCCTCCTGTACCTGCAGCAGCACCCCCGCCCCCCACAGTGGGGTCCTCTCCCCAAGGCCCACGGCTCTTACTCTTACTTCCTCCTTCCTGCCCTTTATCATGCTTTTTTCCCAGCCCCCTCCTTCCCTGTCCTGAACAGTCCCACCGTAGCCAGCGTGCTGACCAGATGTCCTTGCTCCTGGCCCTTCTAGGCAAGGACAGCCTATGTACTCCCTCCCTCCTGGTGGTTTCCGGCACCCCTACCCTGCCCTCGCCATGAACGCCTCAATGTCCAGGTGAGTCCCGGGACCGGGTCTGGGAGCGTGACGTGGCCTTGTAGAGAGTGGCCCTCGACAAGTGTCCTTGCCATTTCTGACCATTCAGAAAGCTTTCTCTGGCCCTAAACTAGGAGGCATGGGTTCACCTTTCCTTCCCACCCCTCTTTGCTAAGGGACCTCCTCGTGCCCCGTGGTCGGAATGGAGACCACAGACTCGGCTCGCTCCTTTCCCATCTCTCTAAGGGAAGAATTTCCAGGCCCTAGCCCTTAGCCTCCCACCACGTCCCCCCCACGTGCTAGGCTTGGTGGCACTGAAGCCAGAGACTGGGAGAAGATGAGTTTTTCCTGAAATGATGTCAGGAGAGGGAACAGTAAAGGGGGCTTCTGTCTCAGAGGCCAGATCTACGTGACAGTGGCACCTCTGGTGACAAAGGAAGTGCAACCCACAGCCCTTATCTCCCCACTGTGCACCCTGGCCTCTGGCCTGCTCCACCTTCTTTTGCGTCTGTTTTTCATCCTACCTGCTTCCAGCACCAGATAGAGGAGCCCCGTGCATTTGTGCGGGAAGGGAGGTTTGTTGGGTGTTCGCCGAACCTGGTTCTGTCGCGGGTCCGTGAACGCGCTCCCAGTCAGTCCTCAAAGGCTGCCTTGGCAGAGGTGTTTGCCCAGCTCTGCCACCAGGGCAGGCGGTCACCACGTCCTCTGCTGGGTGACAAGCAGTCAGCTCGAACCCCTCTGTCGTCCCTTGTTTCCCACCTGGTACACAGCCTGGTTTCCAGCCGGTTCTCTCCTCACATGGTGGCTCCGGCCCATCCTGGTCTGCCCACCTCAGGGATCCCCCACCCCGCCATCGTCCCCCCCATCGTCAAGCAGGAGCCGGCGCCCCCCAGCCTCAGCCCGGCCGTGAGCGCGTGAGTATCAGGCGGCCTGGGTGTGGGGTGGCCAGTCTCTGAGCAGCAAACGCCATTTACTTTTCTCCCCTGGTGGCCTTTAGCAGGGCAGCCAGCAGCCTCCCTCCGCCCTATCCTCTTCTCTCTTGGGGATGGCTCCCTTGCTCTCTGAGAGTCCTCTTTGCGCGCAGTCAGGGAAGTTTGACGGGATTTAGAGGCGGAAAGAGAACCCTGGAGCGCTTTTGGCTTCCTTCCCCCGCCCCCATACACAGGAAAATGTGAGCCCTGAAGGGAGGATTTTCGCCAGGTCACACTGTCACCAAGGCCAGGGCTTTGTCCGCTGAGCCATAAAGCCGGCAGGAAAGCCCAAGTCAGCGCCCCCTGGCGCAGGAGACCCCCCTCTTGCTTCTGCCCAAAGTGCCCTGCCCCCTCCCTGTCACCTGTCGCCAGCGCCCCTCCCCACCACCCTCTGCCCCTTCCTCGGGGAACCAGCCCCTCATAGAACACGGCCTGAGGTCATTCCAAGGCTGGGAACCACTCGTGGGGGATGCTCAGGTGCTGCGAGCAGCTTGACCCACCGAGCGCCCGAGCAGCTCCTGTCCGCTCGCCGGGGGCAGGCGGCCCTTGGCCTCAGTGAGGGGCAGGGGTCGCGGGCCGGGTGGCCGCCGACACACACTAACCGACAGCTTTGTGACTTCCCAGGAAATCACCCGTCACGGTGAAAAAGGAGGAAGAAAAGAAACCCCACGTGAAGAAGCCTCTGAATGCCTTCATGTTGTATATGAAGGAGATGAGGGCCAAGGTGGTGGCCGAGTGCACCCTGAAGGAAAGCGCGGCCATTAACCAAATCCTGGGAAGAAAGGTAAGGCCCGCTCTCGGCCCGGGCCACGCGGGGCGGCGTCCCCTGCACTCCTCGCTCCCTGTCACCTCTGACCTCTCTCCGCAGTGGCACAACCTGTCCCGAGAAGAACAGGCCAAGTACTACGAACTGGCCCGGAAGGAGCGGCAGCTTCACTCCCAGCTCTACCCGACCTGGTCAGCCCGGGACAACTACGTGAGTGGCCCGTCGGGCCCGGAGAGCAGCCCCGGGGAGCAGAAGGTGGCTCCGCTTACGGAGGCCTCTTAGGGCCCAGGAGGAGGCTGTATTTGTCCGGGAATAAGGGAGGCACCTCCGTTCTCAGGAGATCAACAAGGACATGGCTTTGGTGTCCTAAGGACCGATGTGAATTTGTAGCCCTCTCATCTGAAGTGGACTCAGCCCTTGATTCCATAATTCAGGACGCAGTGCGAGCTGTGTCCGGGCTCTGGTGGTGGGGGTGTTGCTGGCCAAGGGCTCCGAACCTGGGGCTCAGAGAGCCATGTGTGAGCCCCGGCTGGCATGGCTAATAACTCTTCGAAACGAGACAGGTTTTTGTATGTCTGTTCTCATTTGCTTTTTATTTCTGGTAAGAGGCTTCAGAGCTGTCTTAGATTTTCGGTGGGGCCTGAGTCCCCTCAGAAAAGATCAAGAACCACACTGTTCCAGGGAGGGGAATGGAAAAATAAGCCCGAGGGCACTGAAGGGATGAGGCCTTCCAAGAAGGCCAGGACCCCGGGTTGGAGGGAAGAATAGAGTGGGGACGGGAGGGCACCGTCCAGCAAGGCTCATTCTGCCTCAGAGGCTTCTGTGGCTGCGTGACCTGAGCAGCTCCCCTCCACCGCCAGCTCCCTCCCCCAGGGAGGGTCGGGGCAGTATGGCCATATCCTGTGCTCCCCCACTTCGTGTCTGGGAGTCCCCCCGAAAAGCCAGTTATGCTGCCCCTTGGTTACCCTCTCTGTGGCCATTATTTTCAGGGTAAGAAAAAGAAGAGGAAGAGAGAAAAGCAGCTGTCACAGACACAGTCCCAGCAGCAAGTCCAAGAGGCGGAGGGTGAGTCCTTAGGAGGGCACCGGCTCCTCTAACTGCCGCCATGGTGGTAACCTGTCGTGCATCGTTCCGGGCTCTCTGTAGGGTACAGCGACAGCGCTGTTGGATCGCAGCTACCATTCTCAGGGCCTCTGCCTCATGGGAACCTCTTGCATACTCGGGTGGGTGTTATTATTACCCCCTTTTAGACATGACGAATTAAGAGGCTCAGAGAGGGTGGATCTTCCCAGTCACTCTGCTTGTTAAATGGCGGAGGCAGGATTTGATGCCACCACTTTCCCACTTCAAAACCTAGGCACTTTTCAACTCAGTTGAGTTGCATCTTATTTGAGGGTTCTAAAAATCGATGTGCCAGGCAAAAATGAATGGTATCTGCAATTATCTTTGAAATTCCCTCAGGAAGGGGGCACGTGAGAGATGGACATGCCACCTATTTGTGAACCAAATAGAAGCAGGTGTTCCTCCAAGGTTGGGTCAGTTGAACACCCAAAGAAATACTTTGCTTGGTTTCGGGGTCACTTTGTGCCAAAATTATGTACTGTGTCTTTTCACACACCGGAATCACACCTAGCATGGTGACCTCTCATCTCATGCTCACTCTGAACAAGTATAGAACTGCTGGTACCAGCTAAAGTGCTTTTAATCTCTTTTCTCTCTCTCCCTCTCTCTCCCTCTCTCTCTCTCTCCCTCTCCATCATCGATATGATTTGTACATTTATTTACGTAGGAGTACAGATGAGTAAAGTATGTATGTGCTGTGCACTCCGTTATACACCTCACCGCTTCGCAGGTGCTATGCATCTCTGATTACACCGTAAGCCAGAGATTTCAAAGCAAATCGAATGGAGATCCGTCTCCAGAAGTGCTGAGATTTAGGCAGGGAAGGGGATGATGTGATAGCCTGAGTTTTTTTCCCTCCTATCAGATACCGAATAGGTCTTTGGCATTTTGGCGTTGCCCCTTCTCCATGCTCTAGGTGTCCCCCAGTGCGTCTTCCTCATCTTGAAAGCCTGGATTTCAGGGCCCCCGCCCTTCCCTCCCGGTGGGCGTTCTTGTGGTCCTCCTCACCCGCAGTACTAGCTGCTCAGTCTTTCTTGTGTTTTGTCCCCGTAGGTGCTCTGGCCTCCAAAAGCAAGAAGCCATGTGTTCAGTACCTGCCCCCTGAGAAGTCCTGTGACAGCCCTGCCTCTTCCCACGGCAGCATGCTGGACTCCCCCGCCACCCCCTCCGCAGCCTTGGCGTCCCCAGCTGCCCCCGCGGCGACGCACTCGGAGCAAGCCCAGCCCCTCTCCCTCACCACCAAGCCGGAGAGCCGGGCCCAGCTGGCTTTACACTCGGCTGCCTTCCTGTCAGCCAAGGCGACAGCCACCTCCTCCAGCCAGATGGGCAGCCAGCCCCCGCTCCTCTCCCGGCCACTCCCCCTCGGGTCCCTGCCCACAGCTCTGCTGACTTCTCCCCCCTCCTTCCCGGCCGCGCTCCATGCCCACCAGGCCCTCCCAGTCCTCCAGGCCCAGCCTCTTTCCTTGGTCACCAAGTCTGCCCACTGAGCTGCCCCCTGACCTATGCAGGCTGTCAAGTGACTCGTCGAGTAGTAATGATTCAGAAGAAAAAAGAAAAAAAAAAAGGAAACTTTATTGGTCAATATTTGACCACTCTGGACTGTTCTGTAAAGTGACTGGTAGCAACAGCACTTTACGTTTTGTAGATGTAACCAGTAGCTGATCTTAAGGCTTTTTTAAAAAACAAAACAAAACAACAAAAAAAAAAATCTTTAAAAGAAAGAGAACTGAAAAGTAGTGTGTTATTCTTCTTCCTGTACGTGCAGTGGTGGATGGACCTGGGCAGAAGACCCCTTCCTCCCCACCTCTTTCCCTTTCTGCCCCGCTCCCCCTTCTCAGCGCTCCCACGCGCCACCCTCCCCTTCCTGGCCCGCGTGTCGGCCATGGCTGGACTTCTAGCCTGTTACCTCTTCCTCTAGATCCCATTCCTGGACATTCCCTTTGACCTCGCCAAGTTTGACCTCCTTCGCTCAACTGCCTTCATCTTCGTCCTCTGCCCAGTGTAAGACTGTCATCCCATGAGAAGCCACCTTTGCCTGATTTGTCTTCACCAGCGTCCCCTTTCCCTCAGTGGGCCCTAACGCAACAGCCTCCAGCTCTGGGTGGGCAAAGAGGTCCTCTGAAGTGGTTCTTCCCCACATTGAAAGGGATTCAAGGTGCCCGCCACTTTCTCGGTGAAGAAGTCTCTGTGCCACCCCCTCACCAGTCAAGACCTCCCCTCACCGTCCCAGAGTGGCAGATGGGACCTGGCCCCAAGGCCTTGCTCTTGTCCCCTGGGTCAGTGCTAGCACAATCTGCCAAAGGTCTAAACGCCCTCCTCCCTCCCCCTATCACCTCACATGCTTCTTCTGTGTGTATTTCTTTTTGTTTTTATGGGGTTTTTTGGAGCAATTTAAACTTCCAGTTGTTTATTTTCACAAAAGAAAATAAAATTGCAGTTGAAAGACCTTTTCTGAGTATTTCAATCCTTTTGTTGAATCAAGCCATCTTCATAGCAAGCCCTGTGCTAGATTTTTGCAGGGGGTTGGAGGGGAGAATACGAAAACATGCCTGACAGAAAAATTCAACCCAACTTCCAGCCTCAAATGTACAGAGACCCGTCAGTATCGATAACTGAGATCCAAAGAGAGAAATCTTTATTTTTGTTTTGTTTTCTTACAATTGCCAAGATGTAAGGGGCATCCTTTGGTTGTTTTGCATGGTACCTAGCACTGCAATTTCTTTTATAACAGCCTTACTGAGCTATAATTCACATAACATGCAATTTACCCATTTAAAGTGTACAATTCAATAGGTTTTCGTATGTTCATGTCGTGTATCCATCATCATAGTCAATTTTAGAACATTTTCATCACCTTGAAAAGGAACCCCAGACCCTTTAGAAGTCACCCCCATTTCTTGCCTTCACACCCTGCAGTCCCAGGCAACAACTAATCTTTTCTGTCTCTGGATTTGTCTATCCTGGACACGTCATTTAAATGGGGTCATATAGGGACTGCCTGGCTGACTCAGTCGGAAGAGCATGCAACTCCTGACCTCTGCGTGGTGAGTTCAAGCCCCACGTTGGATGTAGGGATGACTTAAAAAAATAAAACTTTTAAAAAAATAATAAATGGGATGATACAGCATCTGGTATTTGTGTGTGTGCATGGGTGTGTTGGGTTTTTTTTGCTTTTAGTAGGCTCCCCGCCCAGCATGGGGATTGAACTCATGACCCTGCGATCAGGCTCACAGGCTTTACTGACTGAGCCAGGCAGGTGCCCCACATATGGTCCTTTCTCACTGACTTCTGTCAACCTGCTATTTTCAAGGTTCATCCACGCTGTAGCATGTATCAGTACTTTGTTCCCTTATTTTTTACTTATTTATTTTGGGGGGGGAGATGGAGGGGTGGGGGTGTGTGCAGACGGAGAGGGAGGGAGAATTTTTTTTTTTTTTTAAAGATTTTATTCACTTGAGACACAGAGATAGAGAGCATGAGCAGGGGGAGAGGGAGAAGCAGGCTCCCCGCTGAGCCAGGAGCCCGATGTGGGGCTCGATCCCAGGACCCTGGGATCATGACCTGAGCTGAAGGCAGACGCTCAACCATCTGAGCCACCCAGGCGCCCCCATGGGAGAGAGAATCTTCAGCAGGCTCCACACCTAGGGCAGAGCCCCACGTGGGTCTCCATCTCACAACCCTGAGATCATGACCTGAGCCAAAACCAAGGGTCGTACGCTTAACCCACTGAGCCAACCCAGGTGCCCCTCCTTTATTTTTGATGGTAAAATATATGTGACATAAACTTGCCATTTTAACTATTTGTAAATGTACAAGTCACTGGCACTCATTCCATTCACAATGTTGTATCACCACCACCACTATTTCCAAAACTTTTCATCCCCTTGAACAGAATCTATATGACCACTGAGTCATTACCCCTCCCCCCCAGCCCCACTCCCCCCAGCCCCTGGTGACCTCTCATCCACTTGCTCATTCCATGAATTTGCCTATTCCAAGTAGTCCGTGTAAGTGGAATCCTAAACTACCTGCCCTTTTGTGCCTGCCTTTGCCCACTGTTCTCCAGCATTATCCGCATTCTAGCATGGATTAGCATTTCATTCCTCTTTTTTTTAAAGACTTGATAAACTACTTCTGTCTTCGCTTGCCATTTTTACGAGTACTTGCCAGGTTTTTTTACCCCACTCAGACATAGCTTTTTTTTATTGTGGTAAAATGTATGTATAATATAAAATTCACCATTTTAACTATTTTTAAATGGACAACCTAGTGGTATTAAGTACATTCACAACATCATGCAACCATAACCACTGTCAGTTTCCAGAACACTTTCATCATCCCAAACACAAACTACCTGTTAAACATTAACTCCCCCTTCCCCCTTCCCCAAAGACTTAGGAACCTCTAATCTACTTTCTATTTATGAATTTGCCTATTCTGGGTACCTCATATAAGTGGAATCATACAGTATTTGTCCTTTTGCGTCTGGCTTATTTCACTTAGTATAATGCTGTCAAGGTTCATCTACATTGTAGCATGTGTCAGAATTGCATTCCCTTTTATAATGGAATAATCCATTGTTTATATAAACCACATTTTGCTTATCCACTCATCTCTTGATGAATACATGGGTTGTTTCTATCTTTAGGCTATTGAGAATAATACTCCCTTGAACATCACATATAAGTATAATGTTTGAGTCCCTGTGTTCAATTCTTTGGGATATATACCTAGGAGTAGAATCCTAGGGTCATATGATAATTCTGTGTTTTTACTTTCTGACGAATTACCAAACTTTTCCATAGCAGCTGCACCATTTTACATTTCAGCCAGCAACGTGTGAGGATCCAATTTCTCCACATCCTCACCAACACATTTTTTTCTGTTTTGTCTGTTTATTATAGCGATCCCAGTAGGTGTGAAGTGGTATCTCAATGTGATTTTGATTTGTATCTACCTAATACCAGTGATGTTGAGCATCTCTTCATATGCTTATTAGACAGTTGTCCCAGACTGTTCTATTTGTTGAAAAGACTATTCTTTCCCCCAGTGAACTGTCTTAGGACCCTCATTGAAATCAGCTGGCCATAAATGTAGAGGCTTATTTCTGGACTTTGAATTCGACTCAATTAATCTATATGTCTTTATGCCAATACCACACTGTCCTAATTACTATAGCTTTGTAGTAAGTTTTAAAGTTGGGAAGTATTGGGGCACCTGGCCAGCTCAGTCAGTAGAACATGTGACTCTGGAACTCGGGGTTGTGAGTTCAAGACCCACATGGAGGATAGAGCTTACATTAAAAAAAAAAAAAGAAGGGTGAGTCCTCCAACTTTGCTCTTTTCCAAGCCTGTTTTGGCTCTTTTAGGTCTCTTGCATTTCCATGAATTTTAGAATCAGCTTGTCAATTTCTGCAAAGAAGTCAGCTGAGATTTTAATAGAGATTGTGTTGGTAGATCAATTTGGGGAGCATAGTCATCTTAATAAAATTAAATTTTCCAATCCATGAATATGGAATGTCTTTCCATTTATGTAGGTCTTTAGTTTCTTTCAATAATGTTTTATAGTTTTCAGAGTATAAGTTTTGCACTGCTTTTTTTAAAAAAAATATTATTTTACTTTTTTTTCTTCTTTTTTTTAATGTAAGCTCTATGCCTACCACGGGGCTTGAACTCACAACCCCGAGATCAAGAGTTGCATGCTCTACTGACTAAGCCAGCCAGGTGCCCCTGCCTCTTTCTTCTTTTTTTTTTTTAAAGATTTTTTTTTTTTTTTTTTATTTATTTATTTATTTGAGAGAGAGAGAGAGCACGAGTTGGGCGGCGGAGGGAGAAGCAGACTCCCCACTGAGCAGGAAGCCTGATGCGGGGCTCGATTTCAGGACCCTGAGATGAAAGCAGATGCTTAACCTACCGAGCCACCCAGGCGCCCCTCTTTTGTTCTTTTTGATAGTAAATGGAATTGTTTCTTAATTTTAATTTCTAGATTGTGTATTGCAAATGTATAGAAATTGATTTTTGTATATTTATCTCACATCTTATAACCTTGCTGATCTTGTGTGTGTGTGTGTGTGTGTGTGTGTTTATTTTAAAGTAGGCTCATGTCCAACATGGGGCTTGAACTCATGACCCTGAGATCAAGAGTTGCATGCTCTACCAACTGCGCCAGTCAGGTGCGCCATTGCTGAACTTGTTTTAATAAATTTCTAGAGGGGCGCCTGGGTGGCTCAGTCATTAGGCATCTGCCTTCGGCTCAGGTCAAGATCCCAGGGTCCTGAGATCAAGCCTGCTTCTCCCTCTCCTACTCCCCCTGCTTTTGTTCCCTCTCTCGCTGTGTCTCTGTCAAATAAATAAATAAAATCTTTAAAAAATAAATAAATAAAATAAATTTTTAGAAAATCCTCAGGATTTTTATATGCAAGATCACATCATTTGCAAATATAGTTTTACTTCTTCCTTTCCAATCTGGATACTTTTTATTTCATTTTCTTGCCAAATTATCCTGGCTACTCCCAGTACAGAGTTGAAATGGTAAGAGCAGACATCACCGTCTGTTCCTAATCTTAGAGGGAAAGCTTCCAGTCTTTTACCACTAAGTATAATGTTAGTTGTGAGATTTTGGTATGAAGCCCTCTTTCAGGTTGAGAAAGTTCCCTTCTTTTCCTAGTTTGTTAAGTGTTTTTATCATGAAGG